CTGTTTATGGTGATATTGGGGTTTCTTCTTCCTTTGCCCTCTGTCAGAATAATTAGTCTGAAAAATATCAGCTTGTTGCTTCCGTGGTTTCTTTCTTGTCACCAGAGTCCATCCTTCTTCATCATCCTGAGGAAAAACCCTTCCAAATGTTGAAATGTCACGTACACTCCCTTGGCCAATATAGATTGGGATTGGTTCCAATGAACCAAACTGGATAGTTGTGCAAGATACCTCCGAAGTTAAAGGTTGAGAACGAGCACTCCCCATGACAGAGGTTGTCAAAGTAGCAGTAGTATGATTTGAAGTTACAACTTCGTCTGTATCCAACAAGATTTTTCCTTGTTTTGCCAGATTCATCACCACCTCCTTGAAGATAAAACACTTCTCAATTGGATGACTGATAATGCAATGATATTTGCAGTATTTTGGATCGTTGATACGTCCCATCTCTGGAGGACGTTTGCATTCAGGGAGTTCTATAACTTTACTTTCAAGTAAACATTCCAAGATGCCAGGAACATCGGAATCGGGGAAGGGGTATTCTTTCTTCTCTAACTCCTTTAGCGTAGGACGCTGTCTTTCCCTCTCTTGAAACTGGCGAGGCTTTTTATCATCCTTCTTGTCATCTTTAACAGATATCTTGATTGGGGTGGTTGAGATAGCCATTGAATCTTTAGCCGCATTTTTTGATGACTTGTCGCCCTTCTTCCAATCCTTCTTATCTTTGCGTGGTTCTATAGTCATGGGACTTTTGCCGTCATGGGATTTCATACTGATCTCCATGTTATGGGCACGCGTAGCCAATTCCTCAAATGTGCGAGGTTTTATGTCTTGCAGAATGTAGAGCAGGCCCCAATGCATTCCCTGTATACACATCTCAACAGTAGATACTTCTGATAATCGGTCCTTGCAGTCAAGACTGAGGGCTCTCCACCGATTAATGTAGTCGATTACAGGCTCATCCTTCCATTGCTTCGTGTTAGTCAACTCTATCATACTAACAGTACGACGAGTGCTATAGAACCTGTTCAAGAATTCTCGTTCCATCTGGTCCCAACTATCAATTGATTATGACTTTAGGTCAGTGTACCACTCGAACGCATTTCCTTTAAGGGACCGGACAAACTGTTTGACTAGTAAGTCCCCCTCTGTTCCGGCATTGTTACAAGTCTCGACAAAATGGGCAATGTGTTGCTTGGGGTTACCTTTTCCGTCAAATTACTGAATCTTCGGAGGTTGGTATCTTACATGCATTCTCATACTGTCGATTCTCCTTGTATAGGGCTTTAAGTACATGAGAGTGCTCTGTGAGACACCACCATATTGAGCTCGGATTGTATTCGTTATCATATCTTGTAATTGTTCAACAGATAATGAAGAGACTGAAGAAGAGGTATGCTTGGTTTGACCAGTTGCCTGTTCTATCCCCGGCGTCTGGTTTTGACTGGTCGCTTGTTCTGTCACCTGCGTCTGTTTGGGATTCTCCCTATGAGTACCTTGTGCTGTAGAATTAGGATTCTCCGTTAGTATTGCTGTGGAAGATGTAGGTTTCCCAGACGGTGGTGGTGTGAAAGTTGCACGATTCCCAGATGGCATTGATGTTTCACCGAAGGTCTGAACTTCCAATTTATTCATTAGTGTAGCGATTTGCAAGTCCTTTTCTTCAATAGTCTTTGTGAGGTTCTCAATGGAATGAGCCATAGTTGCTAGTTGTTCCTCCACCGTAGCAGCTCCAGTCATCATAGCAGCAACCACATCTGAGTATGATAGGCCTTGAGAATCCACGTTCCTTGAAGTGATTGATTGCTCCGAAGTCTGACGTGGTGACTCTGGGGGTGAACCGACACTAGAGTGAGCATTATAGATAGAACGAAGTGAATCTGGTGGTGGAGCCTCCTCTGGAACAATGTCAAGGTTTTTGACATGTTCAGTTTTCACGTTCGCTGGTGTTTCAGGATTAGTTTTCACCACATCTTGCTGAAGTTTGAATGACGCCATCGCCTGGGACTTGCTACGTGTCACAGGGCCCGTCAAGGTACTTCCATCGCTTAATTTGGTCTTCGTGCCACTTTTCATGGTGGCTTTAGCGTCGACCTTTACAATAGCGATGTTCTTTTGGGCTTTCTTGTCTGTCTGAATCTTAGGGGGACCATAGAATCTGATAGAGAAGAAACTTGATGGTAGGAGAAAGAGATGAGAGGCAAAGGATGTCCCATCGGGCGTGCCACAAATTTGTACACACAAATTTTGTAAGTCTGCAATAGAAACAAAATATGGAGCAAAATAGAATTTTATTAATTTATGAATGTGGAGTACAGTCCTTTGTAATATCTTTTACAAAAAAAAAGAATGGTCCTCTGATTCGATCTCCTTGTTTTTGGTTGGTTGGATCCAAGGGCTGCACGAGCTTGTTCTTGAATCACTGTGGAATTTGATGAAGAACGGCACGTTGTTGGATGTGCTTGATGTTCTTCGCTTTTGGGTTTCGATTCTGAATTTGCGTCTGAATTCTGAGTCTCTGGATTTCTGAATTCTGAATTTGTGTCTGAATTTGTAGACTTCTGAATTCTGAATCCCCTCCCTTTTTCTTCCTCCAGGCTTCTATTTATAGGCTTCTTGGATTAATAAGATGATGACACGTGTCATCTCCTGATAAGGATAAAACTATAACTGGGCCGGGCCGGTTATATTGTGATAATTATCCTTAAAGATAATTATTCAAAATATATTTTATTAGGAATAATTATCGTTTCATTTAATTATCTGGGCTGGGCTAATTAAATAATTTAAGTGGACCAAGCCTGGTAAATTAAATAATTTATTTAAACATTAGGCCTATATTTAATGGGTCCATTCGTTAAAACCAAAGCCCACTAAATTTTAGTGTCTACATGAAGCAAATTATTATTTTTTATCTCAATATATATTTTTTATGGTCTTTTATCGGATGTTTTGTTAGGAAAACAACAGTATAATAATCCTTGAACTATGCAATTTTGTTGCTGATGGCTCCTTCTGGCTAACTTCTGTCCAAAATTGACCTTTGTTGAAGCACGTGAAATAGAAACTGAAATTTATGGACAATAATACCCTTTGAAAAATGAAAAGACCAGCTAGCCCTTTTGTGACTTTTGGGCTAACTACAACACCTCATCTCTGCCTCCTTCTATCTATATATATAAATATATACACGTCACGTGCTTGTATAATTCTTTCAAAAAATTAAAAAATTTCCAAAAAAAAGTGTTAGAAACAATTGACGGCATCGGATTTAGCAACAATGAAAGTTCTTGTGGCCTCAATCACTGCCTGGTATTTCATCATCAACTGTAATCGCCGATCGTCATCACCAATCGTTGTTATCCATCATCGTCGTGGATCACCTTCGTTGTACATTGTCGGCATCGCTGTGTCCAGTGCTTGTGGATTTTGACCCATCTGTTGAGACCCAACCTGACTAGCTTGCTGAGGGTTCAACTCTAATTTTTGAGTTTTTTGCGATGAAGAGAATTCCCAAATTGATTTTGTTTCTTTGTGATTCTCAATTCAATTAAATTGCCCCTTTTTGTAAACTCAAATAATTAGGGTAAGAGGTTTCTAGAATTTGCAGCAAGAGAGATCATGGCGGTTTCACAACTAGGGTTTTAGTGGTTGCGAGAAGGACTTACAAAGCTCTGCAATTGAGTTGGTATGTGGTTTACAACCCTGTAAATGAAGGGTTAGGTTGGTTATACCGTGGAGAAACTTTCATGGGTTTGACAACCTTGTTGCACCTTCTGACAAATAATCATGAATTTTTATTTCAAACCAAGGAGCTTCACATACAAATTGAACGAAACTCCAAACCATCCGTTCCGGCGGGCTCCGAGCAGCAGCGTCCATTAAAGCTGGCGAGTTCCGAACCGAAGTTGTTTGAACCGAACTTGAGAAGCGATAAAGCCCAAAGAGCATCAACAATCAATCCATCGGAAAAGCTTCAATGAACCCAAAACCGTGAGTTTCAGACATACCCAGGAATTTCAACAATCAGCTCCGGCACGCCACAGTTTTAGACGACGTACAATAAAGCTTCGGCAACCAAACAGATCCATAAGGTGCCAATGAATTAATAGGAGATAAGTTGTGTGGTGATAAGGTTATGACGTGTCAAACTGTTAGTGGTTGGGCCACACCATTTTAGTCTCTTCAACCTTGAATCAAGGGTAATGTTGTCTTTTAGCTTTTTCGGCACCCACTTGTTAAACCGATGGTTAAATGTAACAATTTGTTAATTAAGGAAGTTTGATGGGCTTAAATGCAACCATTGGTTAGTTAAGGGAGTTTGTTGTAGTTTAAGGAGGTTTATTGCAAAAACCCAATAATTAAAGGGGGGTTTATTGCACTTTTTCTTTTCTTTTTTTTATATATATCAAGATTTCAAGAAGTATAATTTAGCTTAATGTTTGCCTAAATTAATTCACTATTCCCACTATAGAATTATTGATCATTCATTTATTTTTATTTTTTTAAAATAAAGACAATATTTGAGTCCTCCTCTAAGAGAACAAACTCAACTCTCCTAACTATGTGGCTCAATAAAATTTAAAATGCTTGTTCAAATTTTTTTTAAATTAAACATGGGCATTTACTATTTTTTATGGGTTAAATCAAAAAAAAAATTGGAATGAATCACGTGTCTCTGTGAGACTCACGCCTTCTTCCTCTCTCCGTCAAAAGGTTCAAACCCAACAAATCAAAATTTTATTTTAATACTCTATTGGTTCCAAACATGTCACAAAATGTATTCAAGGTTTTGTATTGCTGATTCAAGGTGAAGAGGGTCTCGACACCAGCATTTTTTTTAACGGCTAGTATCAGAAGCTTCTATTGAGTCAATTGTCACATGTCATACAAACGTGTTACTTACAACTGACAGCATCTAAAACGGGTAAACCTGATCTAATAAGACTCAACTCCAATGGCTCTGTTTTATGGTACGCGTCTCCGCAATGTTCTCACTAGACACATCTTCGATGAAGGTGTCTCGTATAAAAACACCATACCCCTCTCTATATATATGGCTCATCAGTACTCACAATACTTCACAACATCAGCTCGACAGCTCCTTCAATCCTTCACAGATCTAGCAATATTTCAAAGGTATCTCTATAAGAATTCCCTTTTTTGCTTAGTATATCTACCACCCATCAATGGCTGAGAAGGATCAACAGGTCTATCCCTTGCCGATATCAACCAACACTCAGGCCAAGCACGACGAACAGGCCGTCACAGTGCTGTCCAAAGAGCTTCGTCGCAAGAAACGCATGAAATGTTTGGCTTATGTTGCTGCCTTTGCCGTGTTCCAAACCGGTATTATATTGCTCTTTGCACTCACCGTCCTGAAAATCAAAACTCCCAAGTTCCGCGTTAGGTCTGCTACATTTGAGAGCTTTAATGTTGTGACGACAACTAGTGCTCCTTCATTTGACATGAAGATGAATGCTGAACTTGGTGTCAAAAATACCAACTTTGGTCACTACAAATTCGACAACAGCACCATTTACTTCTTCTATAAGGGTACAGAAGTTGGGAGTGCCTCTTTTTCTAATGCTCGCGCGAGAGCTCGATCCACCAAGAAATTCAATGTTGTGGTGGACCTGACTTCAACCAATGTACCAAGCAATTTGGGGTTAGGTAATGATTTCAATTCTGGGGTTTTGCAGCTGACTAGCCAATCGGAATTGAAAGGCAAGGTGGAGTTGATGAAGGTGATGAAAAAGAAAAAGTCCACGAAAATGAGTTGCACTTTGATCATAAGTTTGGCGGACAAGGCTACTAGAGATTTAAATTGCAAATGAAACTTTTTTTTTTTTTTTTCTTTTCTTTTCTAGACCGTATGTTCTTGGGTTATTTAGTGCTTGGCTTTCCTTGAAACTATTGTGATCATGTATAATATTATTGGGTATAGTTCCCAAGGTGTAACTTTTTCAATATTCAATTTATTTATTTATTCTTTTTCATATCTTATATCTAATTCTTTATACAAATTTGTGTCCCCACTCTCTTAGAAAGATTGAAAGCCTAATATCTTTTTGACTCTGTTTGGTTTGTGAGCACTAGATGGCGAGTAAAAAGGGCAAAAAAAAAATGATAAAGGGAAAAAAAATGATGAGTCACAACCAGTTAAATTTGGTGAATATAAACATGGCTCCATCTAAGACTTTATTACACTCCAGGTGCGTCAGTATCAAAGGATTGGGGACGGACGAGAGGACAAAATTATTTATTTTTTTTATAATTTTAAAGAGGAACATATAATATTTAGGTATATAAGACTTTATTACACTCCAGGTGCGTCAGTATCAAAGGATTGGGGACGGACGAGAGAACAAAATTCAATTTTTTTTATAATTTTAAAGAGGAACATATAATATTTAGGTATATAATACTAAAAAAAAAAAAAAAAAACCAGTGGAGGAAATTGCGCACCCCCACCGACACTATCCACTAGGTCCCTACCTCTCATTGAGACCAAGTCTTTTCTTCTAAAGCAACTACACATTGTTATAATCGCAACCATGCTGAAGTTTGACAGAACTAACGACGTAGCCAAATACAAAGCATGGACATGAAAGAAATTGACCACTTCTCGATTATCATTTTTACCTCATTCATTTAACAATGAATTTCTCTTTTTTCCTAATGTTAAGATTATATATCATTATATATGATATCTCTTATCTATTATTTAAGGTTTCTTACACACATGTACTTTCCTAGTTACCATGTATAAATGATTTTATTATCATTCACCTATCTCCAAATGATCTCCTATATTTAGGAACTTTCAATATAATATTGATTTATATATTTAACATGGGATCTTGTTTATTACTAGTAACAATCTTATCACTTTATCGTATTCATGTGAGATATTAATTTTGTAATTGGTAAATTTTAGTGTCAAAACGTGTCCGATGGAGTTGTAATTTTTGTTTTACTTTGAATCTCAATGCTAAAAGCGGAACAACAAGTGCAATCAATATGCTTTCAACTTTGATTCGTATGAGAACATTATGTTAGAGAAGATATATTGGCGAAGACACTTTATTTTTCATCTTCGGTGAGTTTTGGTATTGGGTTAAGTTCTATTTTTCAATAAGTGCACTGCCACACTGGAACCGGTCATGTTTTATGCAACCGGTTGTGGTCTTCTTCTCTTTTTTTCTTTCCAAAACTTGGTTTCGAAATATTTGAAAACTATCTTCATGGAACCGGTCGCGTTAAATCGGAATCGGTTGCACCGAATGATTTTCGAAATTCACTTTTGATGAATTACACACTGGTCAATGGGACCCAATATTTTCTTCTGAAAGTAGCTACACATTTTTATAATCACAACCACGTTGGGTTTGAGTGAACTAACGACATAGCCAAATACAAATCATATATTCTGCAAGAAATCGACCGCTTCTCAATAATCCTTTTTACCTCATTCATTTAATAATGAATTCATATATTTTCCTAATGTTAAATTATATATCACTATATTATCCGTTACCTACCACCTAGGGTTTCTTACACACCTGCACATACCTAGTTATGATGTTTAGATAACTTGATCATCACTCACCTACCCTCAAATCTTCTCTTATATATTCTGTACTCTTCATTCAATGTGATGCAATATTCATTCATATATTTAACATGGTATCAGAACCTGTCAATTATTGTAATCACTACCAGGGATGACATCGTCAACCCATTCTCGTTGGTGGTCCACCTTCAAACTTAAGCTCCCGTACACGCCGCAAGGAAGTTCCACTATATTCGGTCCCATCATAACATCCATTCACATTTCTGGAGGGTGGACAACACTACCATCTCCGGTGGGAGTCCCACCACAGTTTGGGAGTTACACGGTGCATAAGCTATCAGTTAATTAAGTTGTGATTAATTCTTTAAATAACCTAGAGGGGGGTGAATAGGTCAACTTGCCTAATTTTTGTGATTGATTAATTTACCCACAAATATGACCAATTGCACATCCATAATCACAAAAATAAATGCGGTAAAGTAAAGCAAGTAAAGTACAGTTTGAAAGATGACACCAGGATTTTAACGAGGAAAACAAATTGGAAAAAACTTGAAGACTTTCACATTATCTCAGGGGAATTAGTCCACTATGTATAAAGCAAAGTACATCTCACTTTGGCTCAAGTTCAAACCCCTTCACTTTACCAAGACTTAACTCACTAAATGCCACCGACTTTGCGGCCTCTCGTCCAACAACTCACGACTTCAGACTTACTCCTTGAACCTTGTGGAAGGATTACTGGTAGATCATGAACACTCCACGAATGCTCTGACTCCATCAAAGTGTGATCAAAACCCCATTTTTCTTCAAATCTGAATTTTTGTGAAGGAAAACAAATCACGCTTCTCGAAAAAGTTGAATCTTCAATTATGCTCCAATTCCAATCAGATAGAGAACATCACCCTAAACCACTATTGTATTTATGTGTGTAATCTCAAAAAAAATAAATTAAATTAAATTGATTCTCTGAATAAAAATATCTCTTAAGGCTTTCTCAAAATAGTTGAAAAGTTAAGTTCCCAAAAACCACCTTAATTTAGAGTAAAAGTGAGATTATATATATTGTTGAAAAACCTAAAAATACTTGAAAAACAAGTCAATTTCGTGCATGATATGTCTTGCAAAAATCTAGCCAAAAACATAAACCAAAACTAAAAAGGATTCAACTTTCTATTTGAGTCTGCAAGAGTGCAACCAATTCCATGCGGCGGAACCGGTTCCACTTGATCAGTTAGATTTATAGCCAAACACGTTTTTTGCAAAAGCAACCGGTTCCATGGGTGGAACCGATTCCACGGCGGTAGTGAGTTTTTTTACAAACAATAGTATTTTGTATCCAACATGCAACCAGTTCCATGGGTCGGAACTGGTGCCTAAATAAAACATCAAAAGTCACCAATGACAAGACAATGGGTCCTCACCAACATATTTACGTTCTCTAACGTAATGTTCTCAACCAAATCAAAATCGAACTCATGTTGATTCCACGTGTTGTTCCACTTCCGTTTTGAGACTTAAAAATAAAAATTACAACTCAATCTTACATGTTTTGACACCATAATTTGCCAATTATAAAATTAATATCTAGATCACTTGACAAATTAAGAACACATTTTGACACCAAAATTTGTCAATTACAAAATTAATATCTCACACGGTTGACAAATTAAGCCTCTTTAGAGACCACCATTCCCCGTCACCTGAGGACAATTAACAATAGTGCCACCTCAGCAGCAGTGCGGTTGCCATATCAAATATAGTTAGTAGTGCTGCCAGTAGTAGTGCCACGTTAGCTATTTTGTCTCCAAACTCTAGTTGGTTTCACACTCACCTTGAGTTTAAAGGGTGTTAGATTATATATCACTATAATATCCCTTACTTACCACCTAGGGTTTCTTGCACACCTTGTATAGATGACTTGATCATCACTTAGCTACCCCAAAATCCTCTCTTATATATAGGACATTTATGTACTCTATACTCTACATTCAATGCAATACAATATTTATTCATACATTTAACACCTAACATGATAGAAATTGAAGATATGTGAAATGTGAAATATATCACAAGAATGGTCATTCAGCAAGTAAGTTGTTAAAAATATAATAATGATTCCAATGTGCTTTTAACAAACCCCAAGTTCTTAGATTTCTCCAATAGCACATGAACAATTACAATGCTATAGTTCAAGCACACAAACACCTCCACCATGTGGTACTCATGCATATATTTCTTTAACATCTCAACCTCCCATGGATTTTTGACAAGACTTTCTTATTATCAATAAACTATGCAAAATATATCAGTTAATTAACAATAAGGAATTTAGATTTTCAAATTCTTATAGACAATCTCTCTCTGAATCCAACATTTGAGGGCTTACATGTTTTTGGTAAAATTCTGACAAAAATGATCTAACTATATTATGTGTTAAATATAATGCTTTACATTGTTTTCGACGTTTTAAAACTCAAGATGAAAACCTCTTTTCAAAGTAATAGAACCCTTAAAGTCACATGAGATGCCTTCAAGGATTATCTTAATAGTTGTGGTGTTACCTTAAGTATCATTTGTCCCCATACATTATAGCAAAATGGTGTTGTAAAATGCAAAAATAGTCGCATATAGTCACGATACGGTCACCTAGATCACTAAGATGCACTTGTATTTGTTCTTTGTTGATAGAGGTGCCACGACACCTACTCGTGTGGCATTATTTCTGAGAAAAGGACACACCTGGCCGGTATCTATCTAGCGTGTCTCTGAAAGGACCAAGTAACCTCGAGCTACTTATCCTATAACTAAATTTACTGAACGAGGAAGGGGTCGCCACCCTTCGCTCCTCTGTGGAGGTACCCCTCTCCAATCGGATGGGTCATTCCTCCTTTATCCTTTTTAAGGTTCCCTCCTTCAAACGGAACCACGGATATTTTAGGCCCTCACCTCGAGCCCCCTGAACTGAAGAAGCCTTGAGGTATAGGGCCGGGATGGAGCCTCGTGGGACCCAGAAGGCGAAACCCCGAGGGGCCTCCTTTCCCTATCTCCAGATTCGGGAGTCTAAGCAAATGTGGACAGGTGGCTGGGATCCAAGGAATCGCCTCAGTTCGGGGCCAATGCATGGGGAGAGGATATTCGATACCCAAAGTCAAGCTCTAAGTATAACAGAAGAGTGCATTAAATGTGAGAAAGACATTTGATAAGACCTGCATTAAAAATAGAACGCCATTACCCCTTCGGACATGGGGGCAAAGTGCCTTGGGCCACTTGCCAACGTCCCATCCATTAGGGGGAAAGGTCCTCAAACCCACAAGCAAAAGAGAGCTTGCCCCTGTGACTAGCGGGCATTGACCAGGGGGATGGACATTATAAATAGGGGCATTAACTTTAAGGTAGATTTTAAAGACTTTAACAACCAACTACTACCACTACCGAGCTCGAGTTACTTGGGTTTCAATTACTATCTTCCCTATCTTAATCTCTGACTCAAGAGAATCCTTTGTGTTACTTGGATCCCTACTTAGATACTGATCTCAGCATTCTCGGCTTACGTAAAATAATCTCATCAATCCTACAAAGAACTACCATCAATATTCTTTCAACCCTTCATGTCCATAGCAACAAAAACTGGTTTGAAGCATTTTTTTTTTTTAATTTTTTTTTTTTTTTATCTCAATTTATATTTTTAATGGTCTTCCATCACATGTTTTGTAAGGAAAACCACCGTATAAAATCCGTTTGGCTTCCAACTAAATTATAATCCATCCCGTGTATTTGGTTACCGGTGTTTTCTATGCCTAAATTTTTACTTTTAAATTGTATCACGTGTGTGTTTCTCCGTTACATCCACACAAATTATCATTGCCTAGAATCACTAGACTCGTTTCTTGGCCTTGTTACCATAACACCAAGCCCAACTCAACTTTTTAGAAGCAAACCACCCACTTTTTTATTTTTTATTATTGAATAGTAAACATAAGCTAAAAATTGTCCTATATCAAAATTTCAAGAAAAATGCTTTACCTTAGATCCTTCCCTAAATTAACTCACTATTCCACGATAAATACTGTAGAATTATTAATCTTTGAGCCTTTTTTCTTTAAAAATAATTTTTTTTTTTACTTTTTTTTTCCCTACTTATCCTTTCTACATTTCTTATGGCATCGAGAATTTCTTAAATTCCCATAGTCACACGATATAATCTCCTAAAAACAAGGTGAAGATGATCAGCATTTTTTTTAACGGCTATATCAGAAGCTTCTATTGAGTCATACAAACGCGTTACTTAAAATTGACAGCATCTAAAAAAGGTACACGTGATCTCCAACGGCTGTGTTTTATGGTACGCGTCTACGCAATGTTCTCAACACATATTCGAGGAAGGTGTCTCGTATAAAACCATACCCCTCTTTATAAATATGGCTCATCATTACTCACAACACTTCACAACATCAGCTCCTTCAATCCTTCACAGATCTACCAATATTACAAAGGTGGTATCTCTATAAGAATTCCCCTTTTAGCTTACTGTATATATCTAAAACCCATCAATGGCAGAGAAGGATCAACAGGTCTATCCCTTGCCTGTATCAACCAACACTCAAGCCAAGCACGACGAAGACGAAGAGGCAGGCACAGTGCTGTCCAAAGAGGCAGGCACAGTGCCGTCCAAAGAGCTTCGCAAGAAACGCATGAAATGTTTGGCTTATGTTGTTGCCTTTGCTGTATTCCAAATCGGTATTATATTGGTCTTTGCACTCACCGTCATGAAAATCAAAACTCCCAAGTTCCGCGTTAGGTCTGCTACATTTGAGAGCTTTAATGTTGTGACGACAACTAGTGCTCCTTCATTTGACATGAAGATGAATGCTGAACTTGGTGTAAAAAATACCAACTTTGGTCACTACAAATTCGACAACAGCACCATTTACTTCTTCTATAAGGGTACACAAGTTGGGAGTGCCTTTGTTTCTAAGGCACGCGCTAGAGCTCGATCCACCAAGAAATTCAATGTTGTGGTGGACCTGACAACGACCAATTTACCAAGCAATTCGGGGTTAGGTGACGATTTCAATTCCGGGGTTTTGCAGCTGACTAGCCAATCGGAATTGAAAGGCAAGGTGGAGTTGATGAAGGTGATGAAGAAGAAGAAGTCCACGGAAATGAGTTGCACTTTGACCATAAGTCTGGCGGACAAAGCAATCAGAGATTTAAACTGCAGATGAAACTTGAATTCTCTATGTTCTTGGGTTATTTAGTGCTTGGCTTTCCTTTAAAGTATTTTGATCATGTAAATTAATATTGGGAATAGCATCCAAGGTGTGACTTTTTAATATCCATTTTATTTATTTATTATTTATTTCAAATCTTATACATCTATATTTATATCTAGACTATTATTAAAAGTGTAAAGAATTTTAGTATTTTAAAATTTCAATTGATACAAAATGAATTAAAATAAAAGAGTTTCTATAAATAAAATGAATTAAAATAAAATAGGCAATTATTAAATGAAATAATTTACCAAATAATAAAATAAATTGCCAATTAAAATTAAATAGGTAATTATTTATTAAAATAATTCCTATTATGCTAGGAATTCTCCAAGAAAAAAATATTTATTAATTGATATAAAATGAATTAAAATAAAAGAATTTCTAAAAGTAAAATAAAATAAGCAATTATTTAATAAAATAATTTACCAAATAATAAAATAAATTACTAATTAAAATTAAATAGGTAATTGTTTATTAAAATAATTCCTATTATGTTCGGAATTCTTCAAGTTTAAAACAACTTTACTTTTTTAATTTTATTTTATTTATAACTATTTCCTAAATATAAATATAGATCTAAATCTATGTATGAAAAATTGAGATCCGAGGACGATATAACACATGATGGTTCCAAAATTGGGAAAACTATATTTACATAGAGTTAGGAGCCTTAAATAAGAAAATGGTCTATTTTAAGAGTTCATTTTTCACTTTAGTTAAATTAAGTAAAATAATTACATATGCATCAATAACTATTGTTTAGGTCCAAAATACCCTCCAAACACTTATTCCAAAATAATAAAAATTATTCTCCTAAAATCAAGTATTTTCTTTAAATAATTTATTTATTTGAAAATTTTAAGAAAATAAGATCTTTCTCTTAATTTTTTTAGTTGGTACTCATACATCTCTTCTGAGACTTGAATCCCTCCCTTGGGAGAAAATAGGCTGATACCGCTAGGCCACTGGCCCGTTGCAACTTTCATATATACACACTATATAAATGAAGAATTCCAAGCATAAAAGTTCCTATTATGCCCTGGGAACAGATCATCTCCCATAAAAGTTCTCTCCAAGCATCTACAGGTATTAATCCTACGGCTATTAAGACGCCACATCAATAACTTATTTCACTACTGAATACGTTTGAATTAAAGCACATCAAGCCTTACACTTTTCCAACCAACTTTCCTATTAGGGATAAGTTTCTTTCGTCAATCCTTCTATCAATCTCACATAGCATGGATTTTTGGAAATTGGAATTATTTTAAGGGTTTATGTAAAAATCTCAAATTTGAACAATACCAATTTTTCTAGAACTTGTGAATAGAAATATAAGTTTGATTAATCTTGCAAATCTTCAATTGTAACATTCAAAGATTGTTGATGGTAGAGAAAATCGAAAAAGAAAGTTTCAGGGTAAGAAAATTATTTTAAGGGTTTATGTAGAAATCTCAAATTTGAGCAATACTATGTTTTAAAAAATTTGTGAATAAAAATATATGTTTGATTAATCTTGAAAATCTTCTATTGTAAAAATCAAAGATTGTTGATAGTAGAGAAAATTGAAAAAGAAAGTTTAAGAACGGTAAGAAAATTATTTTAAGGGTTTATGTAGAAATATCAAATTTGGGCAATACTAATTTCCTAGAATTTATGAATAGAAAAAGAAAGTCTCAGAATAGTAAGAAAGTGTCGTAGTGTATTAAGTAGTGAAATAAGTTGTTGATGTGGCACATTAATAATCGTAGGATTAATACTTGTATATGCTTGGAGAGAACTTTCTTTGGAGATGATCTGTTCCCCGACTCAATTAATTGCACTTGTTTTATAAATAAAATAAAAAAAAACGATTGCCGCTATACCATTTACTGAAGCAACCATTTAGTTTTTTCATGATCTCCCCTTACCGTGCGTGTGTACTGTATGTGTAGATATGTATATATATATATATTCATAGGAAAATTTTTACATTTGGAGGTTTATATTGGTATGAATTAAGAGATATGGTTAAAATTATACATACATACATTTCACATTTAGAGGTTTATATTGGTATGAATTAAGAGATATGGTTAAAACTATACATACATACATACATATATACATAGATATATATATTTGATGAATTTCCACTTACCGAAATAAAAAATTCACTACATAATGAATTTTCACTAAATTTTTTGTATATTTCTAAATTGACATTTACAGATTTGAACTAGTATAGATTAGGACATATTGTTAAAGTTTTTTGCACAATATATATATATATATATATATACATGGTGTTTTTTATTTGATTTATATATTTTGGTAATATATACTTACACCATATGCAAAAATGTCAAGTTAAAAGTCAACTCAAAAATCTTTTTTTTGTCTAAATTTTATTAATGAAAGAATTATTTTATTTAGAAAGGATATTTTGGTATTTTGAAATAAGAGTTTGGAGGGTATTTTGGATATAAATAATAGTTATTTATGCATATGTAATTATTTTACCTAATTCAACTAAATTGAAAAATTAACTTTAAAAATAAACCAAATTTGTTATTTAAGGCTCCTAAATCTACTTAAGTATAGTTTTCTCTTCAAAATTCTTTGTAAAATGAATTAAAATAAAAAGGCAATTATTTAATAAAATAATTTATCAAATAATAAAATAAATTACCAATTAAAATTAAATAGGTAATTGTTTAATTGAAATTGAATCAAGATGTTTCAAATCATTTATAGATAAAATAAAAAACCTAATTTACCAAATAATAAAATAAGTTAAAAATTAAATTAAATGGGTAATCGTTTAATTGAAATTCAATCAAGATGTTTCAAATCATTATTAAAACAACTAAAATAAGTTATGTATTAAAATAAAATAGATAATTATTTAATAAAATAATTTACTAAATAATAAAATCAATAACGATTAAAATTAAATATGTAATTTTTTAATTAAAAATTCAATCAAGATATTTCAAATCATTAAAATTAAATAGGTAATTGTTTAATTAAAATTCAATCAAGATATTTTAAATCATTTATAGACAAAATAATAAAATAATTACCAAATAATAAAATAAGTTACAAATTAAAATAAATCCTATAAGTTACCAAATAAAATAAAGAAGTTACGTATTAAAAAAATATAGGTAATTATTTAATAAAATATTTTATCAAACAATAAAATAACTTACCAATTAAAATTAAATAGGAAATTGTTTTAATTGAAATTCAATCAAAATGTTTCAAATCATTAATAAATTACCAATTAAAATTATATAGGTAATTGCTTAATTGAAATTCAATCAAGATATTTCAAATCATTTATAGATAAAATAATAAAATAAGTTACCAATTAAAATAAATCCGTTTATGCTCGGAATTTCTAAGGTTAAAATAACTTTGGTTTTTCTATTTTATTATATTTCCAACTCTTTCCTAAATATAAATATAGATTTAAATCTTTCCAAATAATTAAATAAATTACCAATTAAAATTAGGTAATTGTTTAATTGAAAGATTGATTTAATGATTTGAAACTTCTTAATAAAATAAATGACAATTAATAAATTATCAATCAAGATGTTTCAAATTATTTATAGATAAAATAATAAAATAATTTACTAAATAATAAAATAAGTTACCAATTAAAATAAATTCAATAAGTTACCAATTAAAATAAAAAGTTACGTATTAAAATAAAATAGGTAATTATTTAATAAAATAATTTATCAAATAATAAAATAATTTATTAATTAAAATTAAATACGTAATTGTTTAATTGAAATTCAGTCAAGATGATTGAAATCATTAAATAAATTATCAATTTAAATTAAATAATTAATTATTTAGTTGAAATTCAATCTAGATGTTTTAAATTATTTATAGATAAAATAATTTTCCAAATAATATAGTAAGTTACCAATTAAATAAATCGTATAAGTTATTAATTAAAATAATTCCTATTATATATGCTCGGAATTCTTCAAGGTTAAATCAACTATACTTTTTCTGTTTTATTCTATTTCTAACTATTTCCTAAATATAAATATAGATCTAAATATTTCCATTATAATATTATAATTTTATAGTAAAATTAGTATTATATTTTATTATAATGTTATGGTGAGATACCTTAGTTACATTTATATTTGAAAAATCAAGATCCGACTATATAACTCATGGTTTTCCAAAAGCAGCAATACCAAAAGTGGACACGCATGATGGTTCAAAATTCTTTGTTTTTAATTTATTTTGATTGATCAATTTCACTGCATGATTCAAATTTTTTTGTTTTATTACAGGTACATTGTTCTTTGAATTGCATGAATTATGTTGATTTTTTTTTTTTTAATTATGTTTTATTCTTTGAATTGCATTAATCATGTTAATTTATTTGGATGAGTCAATTTATTTTTCTTTTGGATGACTCCATTTATTTTTAAAAAGACATCTTAATTTATTTTGATTGATCTATTTCGCATAATGGTTCAAAATTCTTTGTTTTATTACAGGTTCATTATTCTTTGAATTACATTAATCATGTTGATTTATTTTTTATTTTTATTTTTTTTTGTGTTTGTTTAATTATATTTTATTCTTTGAATTGCATTAATCATGCTGATTTATTTTTATTTTATTTTTATCTTTTTTTGTTTGTTTAATTATGTCATGTCAGCATTTATTAACTAAACAAATAAGTTTTGTAATATTATATATTTTCCTGTCTATAAGTTTTTAAATATTATATATTTAATCTTTAATTATCTACATATTATACAAATAATTACAATCCCTTAAAATTGAGGTTTTATTCTTAAATTTTAATTTTGACAACACGTTTGCTTTATAAATATTTAAAATTTTAATTACTCAACAAAATTACTAATCAATTATTTGAACTTAAGATTATAAAATAACTTTTCATCATGTGCATCGCAAACCAGAATTATTAATATGAAAAAATATTTATTAATTAATATAAAAAGAGTTTTTAAAAGAGTTTCTATAAAACCCTAACACATATTAAGTTCTATTTATTATGAGTTTTTTTTAGTTAAAGGAAATCTAACTAGACAAGAATATATTTAAAGAAAATA